CCCTCATTTCCTTAGTTGGCACTTTTAATCACTCGGTTGCTCAGCATATCCAGGAAGCGTGCACCGTTCTGACGAACTCAAGTGTGCATCAAGTAAAAATTTAAAAGAATTATTCATAAGAGTGGTCTTACGGCAGCGTTTCTCACTGAAAGGTTATTGATAAATAAATCACACAATTTGTGGCTCTGTAATCACTTATTCCCCAATGTGCTGTAGCCTGTGCTAAGCTGGCAGTTGGGTTGTGTACATCGCGTGATGTCCTTCAAGGGTGTCTACTTTCTTCATTCCTATCCAACTTTATCACGGATACATTTATGCAGGTCTTCCTCTCATTGTCTGACTTCACAGGGATTTATTTTGTCATACAGGAGTCCTTAGTAGAGTACGCAGATGACATAGTCCTGTTAGGTTAAGACCCTGGAAAGATCCAAATTATTCACACCTTGAGTGATGATCTAAAAATGTTTGAGAAGCGCTCCCCACCACCTAAATGCAAATTATTGATTCAGGACAGGTCTTCAGGGGTGTCCTGTCTAACAATAAGGAGTGGAATGACTGAGGGGGTTGACCAAATCATTTAGCTAGGAAAGTGCATTAACCCTGGTAGGTCATTTACAGACAAGCTTTTGCACGGATATGCAGCGTTTACCCTGCTGTCATAGACTTACGCCATTTACGGCACCACTTTGATATCCGATTTTTTATTAAGAGTTCAGTGTACTGTGTTGCAGTTTGCTCTATCCTACTGCATGCATGTGAAGCATATTCATTATCGGTAAAGGAAATGAGTAGGCTTCAGGTGTTTGACCATACTTGCCTTCGTAGCAAAGGCCGTGTATTGTGGTGTCACCATGTCAGTAAAAAAAGAAGTCAAATGTAGAGTTTTAGGCAGGAGAGGAAGGTCAGTTGATGAGGTCATGAACCTTGATTTATTGAGGTGGCTGGAACATGTGTTACACATGCCTAATCACCGATTGTTTCGTCGCACATTGTCAGCTGAAAAAGGTTTAGACTGGAAGAAGCTTAGAAACGGCTTAAAAGTGGATTCTCTTCTGATATCTTTGACTGTTGGTCTGATTCTTGTAGACAAATTTAGACCCAGGGGTTGAGGTTCGCAAGACAGCAGAAACCAGTAGTTGGAGACTCGGGGTAATATGGCCCACAACCTATCAGTGGCTTATTTGTATCCTTACATTATCTTCACTCTAATCTCATAATGAACTTAAATATTGTTCCATTCCTTCTTTCTGTCTTTCCACAACTTTTCACCTCTTTCTGTCCTCTTTCTCCTGTATTTATTCATGCTTCAACTTCATGCATTCTTGCTTGATGTACTGATATGAGTGTGATGACTTGGGTCTTCCTTCTCATGAAGACAAAGGAGAAGTTGTCTTCAGTTTTACTGTTGAAATTTCCTGAGTATTCATGTCTTCATTTACAGATCCAAGTGTTGGAGTCTTGTTAGTGGTAGTTGCCATATTCAGGTCAATTCAGTTTAAACTGAATGGAATACTCAACAAGCGTGTACCACAGTTTATTTGCATGATGGGTTGACACTTCTGGTTTATTACTGATCAGATAACCAATTTGTGGAAACAGAGATTTCTTAAGTAATCGTAGTTTCGTAACTGTATTTTCGATAGATTTGATTATAGACCATATTAAAGGCCAAAATATGCATGTTTAGTGTGATCGCTGATAATTAATAGAACGGAATTCAACTTGTCATGCCACTGATCTCATGAGCTATTACTTTGTCCTTTAACGTAAACACATAATTAACCCTAACCCTTCGGAGACAGAAGTTAGTGGTTGTAAAGTAAATTACTCTTCAACAGTTTTACATAAGGAATTCAAGATATATGAAAACTGTGAGTATACTGATTTATGTGGTCTGTGTCTTTTTTTACATGAAACTAATCTAATGTTTCAAAAAAGCTACCCCTTTTTTCCAGCATGAATGTAAAAAGCCTTTTGCTTTAAGTCGAATAATTCTATATTTAATGATTTAGACAATAAGATTCATTAGTTAAATTATACCCGTAGGAATGAAACAAGTAAAAGCAAACGTATCTTGTTGAACACAGGGGTGGTTTGTAGTGAAAGCTGATCTGCATAAACTGTTAAGCCAAACATTTGATATTCTGTTTCACAGTCAGTTAAATTTAAACACAATTATATTTACAAAAATAAACAAAGAATGTAAGTTCAAAACTGCTGTGGCTCCTAATTTTTAAATACTGGATATCTTTACAGAAAACATTACTGCTACGCATTAGTGAATGATATCATGTGTTTGATCCGCAAATTCTATTGGTTTAAGACATTGTTTATTACCATCATGAAGATAAAGTGTGATTTCGCAGCTGACTCAAGTGAACTGAAAAGTTATGGGTATCAGAAGCTCACTTTAATTCTTTACTAGTTCGAGGTGCCATTGTGCCACTTTTTGATTTAATTTTGTTTTGTCTCGGCAGTAATGATGTACAGTGGCCTAAAAGTTCGATCACTGAACTACACGTAAAAATTTATCATCACTTGTAACCTAGTTAACGAACATTCTCTAAGTCTCTGAGTTTATCTTGTACGCACTGTGTCGAATTGTGACATTTATCAATGAAGTTAGTTCATCAGTTGTTGCAGAATAATATCCTCCTAAGCTATAAGTATTCTACATCATCACAATATCAGTAAATTATTTTTTATGCATTTGAATTATGTACCATTTGTTTATTCAAAAATATGAGGATCTGAAATGGATTTTATACATGCATGGCTATGCAAAGTCGGATGAGCATAACGTATACTGTTGCATTCATGCATATTCTTGCATAAATCAGAAAGAAATGAGCTAATCTAGTACTTTTCTGCTCAAAGTTCATTTTTATGCAGTATGCAGCTGAGTTTTAAGATATTTACAAAATAACATAAATGCATGTCTATTTTTCGAGAGGATAGAGTAGAACAATGACTGAACGTTTTGACAGAAAACTGCCTTTTGTAAGAAAATCGATCTACTTTGTGACTAGAATTGAAATTTAACTGTAGTGCAATGATGTTACTTGGGCGACTTTAAAGGCCACCCTAGCAACGATCGAAATAACTAATTAGCTTTCTTTATTTCGGCTTGAAAGTCAGGTTTTCATAAAATAGAGAAGTCTGATTGGTTATTCCAGTTGTTGCGGCCTTTAAAGTCACTAATGTTACTTATAATGGTACTTAAGATAAGCAAGTGACTAAGTAGTATGTGATCTTTTACAACGAACCATAGTTTCAAGGAAGTACAATATTTAACAGCTTAGAAATAGAGTATCACTCGAAAGAAAAAATATTGGGACTAAGTATCAATTACAATAAATTTGTATCGGTAAACTTTGTACCTTCTGAAATTCTTTGTAATTAAACAATCCGATATGATGCCTCGCGATCTTACTTTTTACATGGTGTTTTTGCAGCACATTTTCAAACCAACTATTGGTCTTTTTAAGTGAACCTAATTATTAGGAAAGTAGGATCCTCGTATGTAGTAAGTTGACTGTCATTATCACAAATTTTTCAAGTCAGTTAGTTGAAAGGCACCAATCAGTGTCTTTGTGTTTCTGAAATTTAAGCACTGTCACGGTTATTTTTTCCCTCGATATGCTCCCAGGGATGAAATTTTTCGTGATCTACTTTATATGTTTTACGCAAATGCAAAAAATTCAGTGAAAGAACATTTTTGTTCTTTAAAAGATTTCTCATACTTGGATATTAACTTCTGCATGAGCTCTTGACTTTCAAATTTCAACAGGTTCATATTTTTATTTCTTGGTATTTCGATATCTTCTTATGTGTGGTAATTAAAGGCTAGAATGGGATAAATGAGATTTCGATAAAGTACATTTATTAACTACCAGGAATAAAATTATATTGCTAATCAACAAAAAAGCAACAATGTATTTTGGGCTAGTGGGGATTTTATATTTAAGATAGCGTTCATCATGGATTTACATCAGTTGAGTAACCATTGAAAACCTGTGAGCACTGAACAGCTGTTTAGTCCTAGTATGCGACTCATCAGCAGAATCGACCCACGACCCGGCTAGGGGGCGAACTGAAGACCTTCAGGTTTCACGGCGAACATGTTAAACATTCAGCCACTGGGTCAGGGTTCAGTGGTTTACACTTTCTTACTTATGTCAGTTCACGATATAGCGTGACTATCATCCAAGGTCTTCAGTTGGCATCCGCTTCCCTTCCGACTGGTTGACCCCATAGGCCACGACTTCTCATTAGAACTTCGGGAAACGTTATGTATTTTAAGGATAACGGGGATTTTGTGTTTAAGGTAGCACTCATCACACACTGGCCCAGTAGCTAGATGGTTAATACTTTCGCTATGTAACCTGAAGATCCCGAGTTCCATCCGTAGACGGGTCGTGGGTGCGTACTGCTAAGGAGTCCCATAATAGGAAGAAACGGCTATCCAGTGCTCCCGGGTTTTCAGTGGTTCTCCAACTGTCACTCAGAGATGAATGTTACATTAAGGAAAAAAAATTTTATTATTCATCACTGAAATTACTGTCGAAGATATGAATGTGCTGCCTTATCTTTTCTCATGATTTTGTATTGCATACTTGACTATATGCTTCTAGACTAATTTGAGATACGTGAATGTAAGACTAGATGACCTATGACTACTGCATTTATTTATTGGCATTTACTTTTTATTTACAGCAGTTTATTATCCACCTGAAATTAATAATCAAGAATGGTCTATATCACGCTGTTATGCAGAATTTCATGCTGTCTTTACGAAAGTAATGTTCAATATGCTTCTTTTATATGCTAATTTTACATATTTTTTTTTACAATAAAAGTTAAAACAGTCATATGACTGTACTGGATTACAGTTACCAGCGAATAATATTCTGTTCAAATTGGATATAAACTTTTTAACAAATAGACGTAAAGGCTTGTATAATTTTGTCAACAAACTGGTTTCATCCACTGATATCTATATGGAAGAGTAAGTTACAGGCAAACATGATTATTTTGTTGTAATTCTCTTTATATTTTGTATTGTCTGATTTCTTTCCTCACTCTTCTTTTTATTTTTTAAAGCGAAGATGTGAAGAAATTTTTAGGTCTGGATAAGATTCAAGGATTATCTAAGGTGAAGTCATCTGAAGACACTGTAAGTAGTACAGTCCTTCTGTAAATGCAATTGCCACTTTTCATTTCCTCATCCAATTCTTTTCAACTACTTTTTCCTTCATTTGCATAGGATTTAATTGACTTAGGACCAACTGAAGATAAAAAGTATGAGTAAATAACAGTGGATTGTACATAATAAACCTTCTTATACAGAGCATCCTTGGATGATTTCGAAATAGTAAAAACTATTGGAGAAGGAAATTTCGGAAAGGTATGTTGTTTTTAGCATTTTTTTAAAAAAAATCACCCATCATATGTGAATCATCTAGTTGCCACTTTTTATGTCCAGCACACTGTTTCAGTTGTACATTCTGTATAACTTCAGACTTTCTGCTAGAGGATGTAATCCGACATAAAGTAGAACTAGAGTGACTAAGAATATCAGATCTGATCGTCAGCAGTTATCAGAGCTAAGAAATAAGCTCTAGTTTGTTGGATAGTTGGTAAATGAAGAAGATTCCTGCATTTGCATGCATCAGTGGATCCCTGTTTGCAATCAAATAGATATTTATGCCTGGGCAGAAGTAAACAAAAGAAGTGACAATCGACATCAGACAAAAAGATTTTGTGTTACGCCATATTTGATAGTTTCTAGTCGACAGACTAAGTTTACCATACCTAAAGATAATGACTAAAGGTGACGAATGCTTGACTGAAAGATGCATTTCTGATAATTTACTATTTAACTAAATGCAATACGTTCATTAAGAGAACGAAAAATTGAGCAAGTATATGTTACTACCAAAGCCTCACTGGTTCGAATCCGGCCGTGGTTCGAATTTTCATTTCACTTCCAATCATCACCCAGTAATAAATATGACGATAGTATTACTGGTGATAAAGACTACGCAGAAACATCCGTTACTCACTAGTGACTTACTTGCATGCATACTCCAATCTTATATGGAGTCAACTATGACTTGAATAGCTTAGCTGTATAGCTTGTGCTTTTAGAACTGAGTGGAACAGCTTATAATCGCTGTAGGAACACATGTTTCCTTTTTCTTACAGATACGCCTTGTTTATAAGTGTCAGCAAGCTCGAAGCCAATGTATAGGGCTTTTTGTCGATTGACTCCCACTATCTAACACAAAAATACAGTTCACCAAAGTGTCTCGTCAATCACCTTATTTAGCCTCACTGCAAACTTGATCTATAAACTTTGGTCGGTACTGAAAACTAAAATCTAGACAGCCACCTACCAATAAAGCATGTATGAAGATAGGAATATTGAAGAAAGAATGATAATGCAAACACTTGCTATTTAAGTCATGTAGGTCATATATTTAGTCCTCGACCAAACTGAGATTTGGTAAACTGAATATGCATGTGAAGAGAGAGGGAGAAAGGGGAAGTCCTGGACTTGGGTTTCGCGCTTGTTGGCACACGTCAGATGGGCTTATCTGCAACCTTGACGAAAGTGATGTCCCGTCTGATTTTTGAACCCTCGTCATCCAGTCTTGCGGTCAGAGAAGTTATTACTCCGCCATTAGGAGCACGATTGATCTCCTGAAAACTTAGGACTGGAGAATATCAATTTATTTACCCTCGTATGACCAACTAACTTACTTAGACCAGTTGAGTACTAGAGAAGGCCAGTAGTGGTTTGAATAACTAAGTGACGACGTCTCTAACTGTAGCATTGGGCGATTCGAGTTCGAGTTTCAGACAGGATATCAGTTGCTTCACTTTTGCAGACACACCCTGTTGATGAGTTCCAACAAGCACGAAAACTAAGTTAACAGCTCCCTGCCGGCTATCTCACTCTAAGCATATCGGTTCATCGTGATGGTGAGTCTCCTAGCTTGGCGACCACATTGCTAGATGATCGATAGAATTCGATCAGCACTCGGGAGTAGGCAACTGAAGTTGGTCACTCTCCAGTGACCAATCAATGTGAAAATGCTTTTTTCTCATTTGCATTTATATTCTCTAAGTCCGAGCATTTTTGTAAGGAGTATCCAGAGTTCATCTTCATCAGTTTAGTCTAAAAGTTTTCCTCATTTATTTATTTAGTCTGTGCACTCAATATATTACCGTCCGAAACACTTAGTGGAGTAAGTGAATCTTTTGTCTGTCTTTTTACGACCTAGATCGGATTTAGCAAAAGTTTCTTTTCATAAACATGTAATTTAATAAAACTGCTTACAGTATAGCCAATGACAACTTAAAATTCCTATGGAGATGAAGATAATGTTCAGCGTAACTTATGAATAGAACACTTTATACATACAGATAGAACTAAATTAGTCAACATAGAATGATTATGGGTAAAATTATTAAACAGAGGACATTAGTATTAAAAGTATTGCCTCCACGAAGAAGCTGTTCAAAGTATACCGCTGAATTATTTCAGTGTGAGGGTGTAAATGAATCTGTAAATGTAGTTGGTAATGTGGGATGAATATTCATCTACTATGAGATCATAGGAATCCAATGAGTACGTATGTCTTGAAAAGAGTGGTTGACGACAGTCTTACAAAACTTACAAATGAAGTCGGCGATCGCAATTCACACCATCTATCACAGTCACAAAATCCATATTGAAAATATTAAGATTATTCAAAAAGGATTTTCAAACTACAAAGAAAGAAGACTAGCGGAGGCATTTCACATTATGTTGAATCCTAATGCACTCAACAGAAAGGAAGGCCTAACTAACCAACCAACCTGGACAGTATTTCCAAAAACAATACATCACACACAATAATCTGATCAAAAGTACACACACACACATACACACACACACAAATAAACAAACAAACCGAATTTTAGAGGTAGTATTAATCATGGACTGATATCAGTAGAGGAACCATTGGAAATCTTGGAGCAATGGACAGCTGTTTCGTCCTAGCATGGGACTCAGCAGTACGCACCGGCTAGGGATCGAACTCAGGACCTTCAGGTTTCATGGCGAACATATTAACCATTCAGCCACTGGGTGGGTTTTCAGTGGTTCACAGTATCCAACTTCTGCCAATTCGCGATATAGCGCTACTATCACCCAAGGTCTTCAGGTCACGGCTTTTCATTAGAACTTCGTAATATCCATCTGGAAGCAAGTCACTAATGAGCACTATACAGTAATGTATTTTTGAGATGAATGGGGATTTTTTATTTAGAGGTAGTATGCATCATGGACTGACATCAATTGGGGAACCATTGGAAATGTGGGAGCACTGGACAGCCATTTCGTCCCTACAAATTGTGAACGCTTCCTGACCAGCATAACATTGGCATTTATGTTCATATTATTATCTTGTACAGACAATGTGATATGATTCGTCACCTTTTACTGTTTAAACCATCGATAGCTCGTACAGGTTTTATTCTCTGAAGAAGCGATTTCCATGGAGTCACGAAACGTCAGAAATTTATTTTTCTACTTCATTGGGATTTCATTTATAATCCAATTACCCAATGCTCAACTTATTCAACTCTATCATGTCAAATTTTGATCCTGAAGCTTACAAAAGTTTGTTTTTATTGCTTTTGAAAGACACACTGATGGACAAAGTAATTTGTTATAACATGAGGCTTTTGTCCTTTATATGTATCCAGTCGAAAAGCCATGGAGTATCTCATTGAAGTTAGTGCTATCAATAATGAGCCCTATTTGCCTGAATGAACTTCGATCTCTTTTTTGCCAACCTGATATACATAACTCTACATTCCCAAATAGAACTTCATTATCTTTTGTTATATTCTCTTCATCTGTGAATAATGCTGTCGACAAGATGATGAAAACCTGTTTTTCACTAGAAGTCTATCCGAACCTCTTGTGGCAGACCTGTGTACACGTCCATGATTTAGAGGTTTGTAGAACTAAACTGAGCAGTAATGATGACATTTTCTATGGGCAATATAACTGTAAAACGTAGATTTGAACTGAGAACAGTCCAAAGTTTCTGTCAATGTTAACAAAGCGTCAGTTTTATAATCCAACACTGTCAGTAAAACCACCTCCATTTTTCAAAACAACCCGTTCAAAAATACGTAAGAGAATATTCACCACAAATTTCCAATACACAGGTTTCTTAGCAAATTATAATACTTCTTTTAGTGAAATAAAAAGAGCTGACCAGTAATATTGTTCAGGAGAGATAGGAATTTGGACTTGAGGTATAGACTTGCTGTCAAATTAGCGTTTTTTAAATGTGTTTGTGACGAAAGTCAGAGGGCGGAGCTGATGCATTCTTATAGTGTTTTCAAAAGCTAAAAGAAGTGAAGTGTTGTTCAGAGATCATCTGTATATTGTAGGAATGGCTGATACGCTAAAATATTTATATAGGAAAGAGATTTTCGTAGAAAACCTTAACTGCTGCCTTTAAATAAGAAAATAACCTCTTCATCTATAGGTTTTTTGTGAAATTTCCTTTGAAATCCTGATCTGAAGCAGAAGTCCAGCTAATAGTCAGATGTGTTATTCATCCAGACAAAACTAATCATTCAGGTTAATAGATTCTTGAAATACCGCCCTTATTTACAAGATCATTGCTTGTGAAAGAGATAGACAAATAAAGCAGAATAGAACATGCGATGGAAGTGCATCTGTTTACTTTGTCAAACTTTGAAACAGTATCAACAAAGAAAAGAAAGTGAATAGGACGATATCAAGATAAACAGGGAGGAAATGAATGAAGAGACAATAAGGATCATCAAGACCTTCGAAATTTCAGTCATCAAGAAAGATTACACTCATACCACTATGATTGATTGTGACCAATTTCCTTCTAACATTTTGAGGAGTCCAGTGAGGTAGCTGCAGATGTATAACTAGTTCGAAAAGCTATTCAGTAATTTTGTGGACTGATTACCTTTCCCAGTCTGATCCGTTTCAGCTTTCTTTCAATTTAATCATATTTTATTTGACATAAGGTGCTGGAAATGAAAGTGACTGGAAATGAACACTGCATTTCTACGTCATCTCAGTCAATGCACGTTCACAAATTTATCAATAACAATATTGTTCTTCTTTCAAATTCATATCTAACTGTTAATTTAACAATCTTTTGCACAAAATGAATGGAAGCCTTCAAATTTATTTATTTATGATATCAAAAGAATAATGCATTTATACTGGGTTGTGATTGAGACCACCCGGTGGTGGCTGATTCGAATCCGGTCGCAGTCCAAATTTTCATTTCACCTTCAATAATCACCCCAGTATAAATACTAGTCTGTCAAACTACAACTATCTCAGATAGTCATATGAAAATAATGCATTTATTATTATCTAGGCGAGTTTGTCGTGTGATTCACCACTGAAATAAATGTGAAAATTAATAATAGATAAGTTTAAAATGTATGAGTTTGCAGTTAAACGTCAATGAGTTGCTGTTAGCATTTAGAGGGACTGCTGATATCTATCTGTCCATCTGTTTACCACATATCTAATCGATCTTTAGATAACTTTTTCATTTATGTGGTTTCCTACCTATTTTTTTTAAAAAAAAATAACTGATATGAAATAAACAAATTAATTACTCAAAACTAATTTTATTGTCATTTATTTTTCTACTGAAATCAAAATATGTATGTATTAGGTTTATTTAGCTGTTTCACGTAAAACTAATCAAGCATTGGCTATAAAAGTGCTTAAAAAAGATGCAGTTAAACAACGCAAAGAAGTTGATAATGTGATGTCTGAACGTAATGTACTAGTCAAGTCATTAAATCATCCATTTCTGTGTAAACTACACTTTTCATTTCAAAGTACAAATAAATTATACTTTGTCTTGGATTATATCAATGGTGGTGAGGTAAGTGGTCTGTCAACTATTACTACTATTACAGATTATGACTGCATTTATTAATTGTTCTCTTATCAATTGAATATTTTAATAGGGGTGTGATTGTGAAGTACATGTTGTGTATTTGTGTGTGAATCTATGTGTGTATGTGCAGAAATCAGATAAACCTATGCATAAGATAAACATTATGATGCACATATACGGTTTAGAATAAGATCACACCTACCGAAGTTAAGTGAATATTACATCAAAAAATTCTACGACTGGTGACGAGTAAATTTATCAGGTTTACGGACCAAATGGCTTAACATAAGAAATTTCAGTCTAAAGAACACCAAACAGCTGTCAAGATGAATATTCAAATGATAGTGAACAGCTTAAGTGCCGAATGCTACTAAAGCTTTAGAAGAACTGGTAGGTATAGTGTGCCAATATAATGTAGTTATCAGCGATCGATTATCATCAAAACTTTATCCAATGGATAATACAGTGTGACACTGTTGTCCAATTCCAATAAATGTTTTGATATCCAGTGTTTATTAAAGATTACGCAATAAGCTATTTGGCAATTGTATTTTTGGAAACTAGATGATTAACTGTGAAATATCGACTTACTTTCTAGTAATGTGATTTATATTTATGAAGACTTTCCACATTTGTACATTACTAGTCAGACTTTTGTTGTTCGAGTGTACATACTGTAAAGTAATACAACACTGGAAACAAAATTGTTGTATCATCGTCCGTCCGAGGTACATATCTTTTATCAGAAAAAGAGCAAATTCTTGGTAGTAATTAACTTCTTGATAATTAAGCTTAAAGGGATGATATTCTTTCTTGGGAATTCATTGAGTTTGCAAATTATTTGTATGAATCCATCACTCAGTAGTATTTGTATGAATTACTTGACGATAAAATGGTCTATTAATGCAGTCTAAGAAATATCAAGAAACTTATGATCTGTCCTAGGGTGTACGTATATGCACTGCTATGAAATATGTTCAAATGTATATATGAACTAGATCATAATGCTATTTTTCATTAAAAAAATGATGACTGAGTGAAACAGATTTTCTAGTGAAGTAGGCAACTTTTGGATTGTAAATCGAATTTTTTATGAACATTTCTCGCTGTGAATGAGTGAATAAGTAATTCAGTAACACCTAGGATCACTCTTTCATATATTACTGGGATAATAATCATGATATCCTTTGTTAAATGTTACTCCTTCATTCAGTTATTCAAGAGCCTTGCAACTGTTATCAATGACTTCCTTGAAAATCACTTTACGCCTGAATATATTTTTATCTGTGATTATGAATGCCTCTCGTCTCTCTCTCGCCTCTCGTGGAACACATGGACAACGTGTTGTCACAATGAATCCCGACTATTTCGATTATACAATATGCTTCAAACTGAGATCATAAACTTTCTCATTTTCTGTGCAAAAACATAACTTTCGTATAAAAAATATTTCAAATTTTCATATTTTTAAATTTAGAATGGAATTAATGGTTTTTGATATGGTTTCACCCAATATATCTATAACCTTAATCATACCTTCACTTATTTATTTTTCACGCACACTGTGTTTTTTGTGTCACCAAACTTTGCAAAATTTTTACTATTTACCAACTGCCTCGATTAGGCGTATACGATAGGCGACCCACACTGGACACTTTAGTGTGACTGCATTAGTTCACTTGTTTTTTGTGACCTCCCTTATACCTCTTTTTAAGGTAATGTCTTTTTTATCTAAAATGTTACAACACGTATGACTTGATTTCGGTCTTTTACAGTTATTTTATCATATTCAACGAGAACGAATGTTCACGGAACCACGAGTTAGATTTTATGCAGCGCAAATAGCCTCCGCTTTAGGTTATTTGCACTCGGAAAATATAATATATCGGTGAGTTACATACATTTTTAATTGTTTAGTCATGAAACATTGTGTTCATTTCTCAACATACTGATTCCAGTGAGATTCAGTTACCATTAAGGATTCATAGTCATTCAATTCACTTTGTAGTTTTATGTGAGTTTAATTCACTAACCAACACGACTTAAAGAAGCATTAGGGGGAGTAAACTACTTTCTAGAAATTCGTAACCAAAACGACCACTTGATTTTTTGAAAAATAACCAAACGCTCGAGTGATGCGCAAAATCGAAAACGGGATTTGTCTGAAATGTGGTAGTGCATTGTTAGTAATGACTGATAGAATACAAGCCTCAAATGTAAGTCGTTTTTGGACTTATAACATGAAGTGCATCAGTGAAATAAAAAACAAAGTTGCATCCAAAAAACCATGGTGGAACCTGTGAAAAGGTCATGGATTCACTACGTTAAGTGAACAGAGAGAGAGAGAGAGAGAGACAAAGTCAACGTAGATACTCTCACAGAAGTGCGTTGATTCAAATTGACACACTTTTACAACAGTATGAAGAGAACAAGGGGGTAGAAAAAGATTAATATCAAGCAGATAAAGCAGAATGGTAGGAGAGGGAATTTAAAGATGAAGGTTAGTGAGAAAATTCAAGCTTTAGGAGGCGTCAAAGAGTCAGTGCATCTGCGCCATTGTAACCGATTTTCATTCAGTTCACCAGGAGCCCTCAACCACTGACTTCTGTCGTCTGTGGGACCCCAGCCATATAGTCTGCACCATCAGTCAAAGACTTCAGGGACTGGTCCCACGTCCTTAGTCTGGCCTACCTGAACCCTTTTCGAAACTAATTCAACTTCCCTCAGCATCGCATGTCAATGTAAACGATGTCCCGGCATGCGTATCACATGTTCAAGCTACGTTAGCCAATGAAGGCTCAGAATCTCAGCGACTGACTTACCTGTCTTGCTCAGTACCATTCGCCTGATCTCTACATTGCTGACATTTTGATTCCATCACGCGTAAGCAATGAATAAGAAGACATTTGTAGTTAAAAACTTGTAACCACTTCATATATTCTACTTTTATGGCCATGTCTCACAAATGTATAACAGGACATAATGGACTGCAGTCCGGTATACCCTTCCTTTGATAGGTAGTCGAATATCTCGCCAATGGGCGTCAAAAATGGTGCAAGTTGGCAAGTGTTAAACGGGCCTTATTTATCCGAGCCGAGATTTCTTCAATAACCAGCTTTATCGAGCTGATGCAACTCCCCAAATAGTTGAAGTGGCGGGCACATTCCATCAAGTCAGTTTTAAAGCACCATCTTACATTTGACACACTCAGGGTTTCTGCTCCATACATTCAGATAACCCTGAATCTTGTTAAAGTTCTCACCTATCAGGAAAATGTTGTCTGCATACTCCAAATCAACCAGATGACCTCCAGGGAGTAGATCAATCCCTGTGAAGTCAAAGATACCTAAGGTTATGCCCATTTTCACATCAATGAAGGAAATTAAACAGGAACGGTGACAGCAGGCACCCCTGGCGAACATCACTGGTTGTCATCAGTTCTGATGACATGGCTGTCCAGTTTCGAGTAGAGAGCTCTGATAGGCACTATATACTTGCTCGGTACTCTCTTCACAACCAGATACTACCACAACATCTCTTGGTCGATAGAATGGATTGCTGCATTCATGACAAGAGGTATGGTAAGCATCGGCCACCGGTAAGTTAGCCTATGTTTCAAAATCTGACGAAGGATGTAGATTCGATCAATGTGCCCTAATCCAGATCTGAAAACTTCCTGATTTTCTCGAGTCTGCTCCCCCGATGCTCCCGTTAAGAGTCGGATAACTAAATACCCATGAATTTTGGACGCGATTTTAGTCGAGCTGATTCCTCTGTTTATCACAAGGAAACTTTTTTTCAATCCCGTAGACTTGGTAGATCAGTGAATTGGACCAGTCTGACGAGACTTCCTCTGATTCCTATACACTACTAAATACCTCCATATCTTTACTCAGTAATTTCTTACCTCCTTCCTTCGAAACTTGCATTGATAAACCATCAGGTTAGGCTGCTTTGTATCGTTTCAGGTTTGACGTAGCCTTCTCAACTATGAGGAGATTTGGAGGACCAACATCTATATTCCATTCCGGTTTGGAATGGATGCTAGGTAGCTGAAGCGTTGCTCTGAGCCAGTTGAATTGTACTTCAGAGTGTTCTGTTCAACATTCTGACCGTCTGTCCTGAAAAGTTATCATAGTGCCATCATTGTTGGTGGTCGCTTCACTAACCACCGTTTTCTTCTTGCTCAAAAGAAAATAGACAATCAGGAAAACAAGTGAAGACACCAACAGTCGCACGATGGTAAAGACATTGTAGAACTAAAATGTCAAAATGGTGAAGAAAATAAAATTTTAAGTGAAATAAATTATCAAAGGTGCGGTGACATCGCATTGTGAAGAGAAATGAGTGATACTACTGATGAATAGTAAGTAGTATAAGACCCAAATGGGTCCAATTGTAATCTCAAAACTTTACGAAACTAAAAGAATCAACCATGTGGAAGCTAAAAAATATATCATTCGGATGGGAAAGTAAATGTAATTTTTAAACACTCACTGCATGAATCTCAGATGATGTCATGTCTAGAAATTTAGTCAGTTTGGCTGATAAAAGATCCACGAACATCAGGTAGTTCGGTGTCACAACACTGAGTCACACATCCTATTTCACCACTATCAGTTTGAATGCAATTTTATAAATCGTACTAACATTAGAAGTTGGAAGAAATTCTTCCAGACATATTATTTAGACAAGCATATATGAAGACTCATTCACCTTTGGATACTTTATGAACCTATTTACAGCTGATAGGAAGAAGCACAGCAAATGACACAAGAGATAAGTGAAGTTTTTCAAGCATAAACACCATAATCAAACAATAGAATGTTCTGAAACCTACTGGAAAGTGCGTATCTGATCAACACATCCTCGTCCAGGTTTGAAACCTGCCTGGTTTTCTTTACTTTGGTGTTCTTGAACTCCAGTTAGATTTCGGCTAACTATGGACCGTAAAATCTTAGATACAATATTGGTCAAATTGATTCTCCAATGGTTGTCACAGAAAGATTTTTCTTCTTCCTTATAACCTGGAATGACCAGCTATCTAGGCTGGTTGATGGAATATTTCCGATTCCCATACGCTACTTAGTACCTACGTTACTGTACTTATTAATATCCTACCTCATTCGCCAAAAACTTATGGTAGAAACCATCAGCTCCGGCTGCTTTAAATCCTTTCGGGTTTAAACTAGGCCTCTCAGCATCCAGGAGAATTGAAGAAGTAGTATCTACGTACCATGCAGGTTCGGATGACTGTGGTTGTAGAGCACCAGAATTATTCTTTGAAATGTTCTGCTCAACACTCCAGACACCTGTCCTTTGACGCTGTCAATTATCCATTCATTTTGGTGATGGTCTCACTAACCGTCATCTTCGTCTGGCCAGTTTTTTTGACAGCCTAGGTAGTTGCCAACTATTATCTAGTGTTGATGCGTCTAAATCTCTTTTGCTTTCGCCACCTACCATTGCCATCACTTATTCCTAAGACTCTTAGTCAATTATCGTTCAAGTTACTTTTGCTTTTCATTGTTGTTAGCCTCCTCAAATCAGTCTATTCGGATGAGATTGACAAAACTGACTGGCTTTAGGTAACTTTTAAAAGTGTAGATTACCAACTATCCTCACCGATTTTTCTAGCAACAAACTGAGTGTTGCTCCAGGCTTCATCAAGAAAAAGACTGCTGGTATGTTCACATAAATACTTAGGTTCCTGTGGTCTTTAGTGCACAAACCAAGGGAAACAAACACAGTTATGTGCCGTAGTAAGGGGTCAAGCAGTACACATTTATGTCGTCATCCCCATAGAAAATGACAAAATAAAGCGCGAGGCTTCTAGTCATCAACCAACTAGTAACTACTTGTACAAATATTCACTAATTAAACACAGAATTCGTGTTTTTAAAGATGCTGTGAAGATAAAATGTAGATTAATGTTTAAAGTTCAGAGAATAAAAGCTGGAGCCTAAAAGAATTCATGTTCACTTCTACATTTTAAATTCGAAATGAATGCGTCTAATGCAATATCAATATTAGAATAGTTTAAACACGTACTTATGCAGCTGTAAACACTAGATCTACATTTACCTGGTTTATTTCTTCGCTAAAGTCTGTACAAAGTGGTAAAACCAATAAAATAATGTATCATAAAGTTGTTTTCAACCCTTTGTTAGTAATGTTACTGGTTAATTAGAGCTACAAATTTATGCATACATAATGGACTATTTGAATCTAAGTAGTTTCTAGACAATTAGTAAAGATGTTATGCACTGTCATAGGCTTTCAGTAAGGTTTCTTGAATTTCGATGAAGCATCAATGAAAAAACATATATTATGACTATAGTTAGTTCACTAGTGTACTTTACACCATAACTTTGTATGATTGAAGATTTTGTACGAACGTTTTCTATGAGGCGTAATCCTACCATAATGTGCAAAGTAAGCTAGACCCTGATTTATTACTGACAGACAGATGAGGATAGTTTCAAACTCAATTTATCCTATATACTGAGGGATGAAAAGAAGTTTTAAAGATAAAATGCTTAAAGTATATTGCATCTACCGCTTAATCAAGCCCATAGTTTGCATTCATTTTCGGTAGTTTAGGGACTAACCAGACTATTTTGCAAAAAAGAACTCTACCTTATAATCTCAAAATAGAGTAAAGAAGGCATACGCTTTTAAGCATTTTTAGAATTTAGTGAATTTGTTGCAGAGTAATCACCAACTTTTTTTCAACAAACATCGGGATGATTTCAATTTTATTTACAAGGCATATAGAAAAATTCCAATAGCAGATAAGTTATTTGACACAATACCAAACTAGGATATTATGTTCCATTAAGAAAACAAAACCCATTGCCATAATGATAATAACTATCAAATAGAATTATTTACCAATTTTTCTGAAAGTGACTTAAAACCTGAAACATATTACTCGACAGTAAGGTAAGTATCTGTGTGTGTGTCTTTTCCTTCTTCCCGTGCTAAATGCAACCTCTTACCAATATTTCTGTTTGATCTTTTCGCTTAAAATTTCCCTTCTACCATGTGGTTGTGTATTCTTCGGTGATTATTTCATTAAAAAAAAACTTAATAATTAAATTAGGTAATAACTTCAATCCGATTGAAATTGATTTTCTGTAGTATTAATTATCTACACTTATATGCTGATGACTGACCACCCACTCACTGGCAAAGGCATGCCATGTTTATCAGTGACGAAGAAGTAAGTTTGAACAGGGCTGTACTGAAGGCACGATTATTCCTATAATATTTCTAAAAAACAATAAATTGTAAGCGCTGCCTATTTGATTGACAAGATCAACTGGAATACTCTTATCATTCTTATCTTCTTTCGAATTCAGACATCATCATTTTATGCAGGAGACAGTCTGCCAGCGATAGAAAAGGATTTTAGGTTTAGATTTAAGATTTAAGCATTCACCAGGAGTGAGTATCTACAAGAAGAGTGAGCTGTATACGGTTCTTACATTTCAAGACTAGTGAGCTGAAATATCTTGTCATCCAGATTAATCCCTTCGTATATTCCTTTGACTGATAAACTATGATAAGCATTGAAAACGATAACGTGCCAGCAGTCATAGTCCAACGACGAGTTTGTAGAAATAATCAATTTTAAATTAGTCATTCGTAGTCTATGAATATCACAGAATTTAATAATGCAATATGTTATGGTATTCAAGCACTCTATTACTTTCCCTATGTTAGGCTCTCAGTAGATTTTTTCTATAGATTATAACAGTTATTTAGAAAATGACACATGTTGATTTGTATACTGTTGAGGATCATCATCAGCTGGTGGAAATACCCTATTTTACCGCCCGTTCATTTTTTATTCACTATACAATTTACCTTGATTTTTCCTTCACTACTGGTGTAAATAAGATTTCAATTATATATTTTTCTAACATGATTTGCTTGAAAAAAAATTTGTTCATTCGCATTTATAGGTTACTAGAAAGCGGACGGGATTATTGTGTCAGATTTTGATTGATAGTCTGATTCTTTGAACAAGATTCATAATAAAGCACTGTAAATATGCTTGAATGTAAACTGAAGGTATTTCTGTTTGGCCTAGGTTTTGCACTTTCAGAAGTTATCAGAAAGACAGATCTACAACTTCAAGAAAGATTGTCGTCCTCCAGAGGACTTATTCTAAATCTGTCTTTCACAGTTTTTCATCACATCTGAATGCATCCAAGCGAACAAACATAGATGGGTTTTTTCCTGAATCTTATTAGATAGCGTAGCATTAAATTATAGATAGCTAAGACTACTGTTCATAAATCCTTGGGAATAATTTTGTTTAATAATAAAAATTTGTAAGCCTGAATGACTGTATAGTTTGAAAGTGGAGACCAGTGATAGCTGAGTGTTTTTGGCATAATATACACTAAGAATTTCCCTTTACCGTTCAAACTTTTCATCAGTAACTTCAATCATATTTAATAACGTTTAGTGAAATCCTTAGTGATTTTAAGTTTAATAATAGAACAGTTCGCACCGAAGTGAATGTTCATTGAGAAAAAATATAAGGTAACCTTTTTTCTCAAAAACTGAACTTTGACAGAAAATGATTTATCTACCATTCTGTCAATTTCAAGCATGTTATTACACAATCTAACAATACATGAATTGGTCACTGAGCTGTAGACTAGTTAGCTGTTAAATTCTATGTACTGTTGGCCAAACAAAATATATCGACGGAGTTTACAAGTTAATCATTCAGGTACATGATGCGATATTACGATGCAGTGGACTTTGATGTTTGTTGCTCAGAGGCAATATACAGGAAGTCTTAGACATGGTTTGCATGCTTGCAGTCACTCATCACTAAAGCTTAACTGCAACCAAATGTCCTTAAATCACTAGAACCCATGTCATTCAGTTTTGCGATATATTCATCATGGTCAGACACATACTGAATAGCTTGGTGGCCAAGTCTCTTAACTTGGGTTCGAATCACTGAGGAAAAATCACGACAACATATATGCCTAACTGTTAAGCGTCAAAAATCATAAGGCCTAGTCTAACTGAAGATGAGTTATTTAGGGAATGCCTCAAAGCTTTGCTAGACACAAATGACTGTAAACCGCTTTGCTTTAAAACGTTTGATGAAGCGTAAGTGAATGTGTTTTTAAGCTTATCATGAAATGCCATACTATAGTATTTATGTTTTATTAAAATTTTTGCAATAGAGAATGTGCATACATACATACATACATACATACATACATACATACATACATACATACATACATACATACATACATACATACATACATACATACATACATACATACATACATACATACATACATACATACATACATACATATACATTTTATCTCTAGTATTTTCAAGACAAACTACATATTCTTATTATTTTCTGTTTGTATAACAAACATAGTTTTGATTACTTCACTAGGGATACGCGATACTTACTGATTTGGTCTGTGTAAACAAAATCCTGAAAATCAATCTACCACATTAACTTTCTGTGGTACTCCCGAAGTAAGTGAAAACCTACATTAATTTCTTGATTATTTTAATGAAAATGTCAAAGACTTTAGTGTTTTATCAGTAGGACTGATCAGTAGTTAGTTTGTCAGCTAAGGGCTATTAGACGTTCTAAAAAACAGTAACGGTATCTGCGAATATAAGGTTCAAACAATATGAAATCATTGTCACTGGCTCAATCAAACCACTTATTATTTTTCACATTATCTCATTTTACACTAAGTTAGTGTTTTAGTTACGTCTTTTTTGAAAATATCATTGTTTCCAGAGAAATTGCTTCGGACTACTGTAGGATAGGTTATTTAAAATCTCTGGTCGGAAATTTAGAAAGTCGATTTAAAACTCCCAGCAGTTGGAATAACAGTAAATGTGTCAATACCTCTTCTTCTTCTTATTCTTTCTTAGACTGCTCTGATACGTTTTTGACCAAGTAAAAAAATTATCAGGAATAAACTATATCAGTTTCGAGAGATTTTGTGTCACTCTTAACTTTTCAACCTCCTGTAGCATAATGTAACTCTACATACTCAAAATATCTTTCATGATGGTGAATATTCATGTGGCTACTGATCACAAGCTAATTTTTCAGTAGCAAATGTAGTTAACAGATATATTTGTAAACACTTTGTCTTTTCGCTGAGTAATCAACCAGTAGGGTTCAACAGCTTGTCTTCAAGTAACCTAGGATTTTCTAATGTTGTTGAAGCAGCTGACATTTATTTTTCTTGGTTCAGACGGTATGAAAACATAATAAGTTCAAAATTCTTAAGTTGTGATGCTGCGAAGAAAGCATGACTACTACCTTTTAAGCTCATTCCTGATGAAAATGCCAAGTATTAAATCTTGATTTTGCGGAGGTAAACAAGAGAAACATGAGAAACTATGAAAACTGCCTCAAGCTTCTGCTACTTCGTGGACTGTTATAGTAAATTAAATAGACATACCAGTTTGCAATGTGTTGGCTTAGTTAGAAGGGAATCACTCATTAGATGTACATTCCAGTCTGTCTGCATATAACTTTTACTCCTGATTTTTACTGCACAGAATATGGTTTGTCACACATTTCAGTCATAATTTACTTGCCCTGATTTCTGAAGGTTTATGCTGTATTCAGTCCTTACACCATATACCTAACCCATAGTTTACTACTGTCTGATATGCTGTTAGCTATTAGCATTTTCAATAAATGTCGATGTCATGAAATTATGAAAATATTGGTTGTATTGTGTTCTCTGAGCTGGGTTGTTTAATCGTGAAGCTTTCATCGTCCTTCTAGACAAAATCATCAGCACTTCAGCAGCTTCAGTATACAGTAAGCTGTCAATATCTCTCCGTGAGTGATTAAGTAGCTTGCCTTGACGAAATGGTCTATGATTGGTTGCTTCCTTTGATTGTTGTGTCAGCACGTCAGCATGTTCTGCTGAAGAATGTCAGATATAGACCACCGATTAACTGCTCAATGGGATGGAAAATAGGTGAACAAAGTGGAAGACAAATGGTACAACTGATGATCACAGATGCACATCATCGGATTCGGAAACACCAATCAGTGATTAACAATCAAAAGGAAAAACTAGAAAGCATACTCACGACACAACACATGACAACGCTGACAACTGCAATTGAAAAATCAAGCAGACGATACAAACAACAACGAAGAAAGGTCCTCAGGAAAAGCTGCTCAAAATCTCAGAAGTACCTTTAACCGATGAAACAAACGACTGTGTTGCCAACTTATTAAAAAAAGCCACTTACAAAAATGGAAGTTCTTCAAAAAGGATTGAATTACAACACAAGAGATGCAACGAAACCAGAATTCTTTGCAGCATTAGAATCGTCACTTAAACATCAGGATTAAATGAGGTCACTCAACAAGAAATACGGCAAACAATCGTACCACTGACCAGGCTCAAGAGACATCACCCTCAAATTAACACTCAAGAACAGAAAAGATTAAAAAGACTGAAAAATAGGAAAGAAATCGTCATACTTCCAGCAGACAAGGGACACACTACAGTAGTCAGGGACAAAGAAGACTACATCAGGAAAGCAGAGGAATTACTCAAAGACGAAAATGTATATCAACCACTTGAAACCAACCCTATCCAGAAGTTCGACAACCAGATCAATAAGACCTTGAACAAACTCTTCAAAGCAGAAGAAATAACAAAGCAGGACAAATAGAGAATGAAATCGAATGGACCTGTCCTTCCTCGGTTCTATGGCAGACCAAAACTACACAAACCAGACATCCCTCTACGACCAATCGTCTCACTTCCAGGAACTCCAACATACAACATATCAAGAGAACTTTCGAGAAAACTGAAACACCTTGTTCAATCATGTGGATATTCCATCAAATCACCAACGGAATTCTTAGAAAAGATCAAAAACATTAACATAGAAAACAACGAATTAATGGTATCCTTCGATGTCACAGCACTATACACATCTATCGAACCCCGATTGGCCAAGGAAACTATATCTCTCCTGCTCAATGAAGACAAACCTTTCAGAATGCATAAAACTTAAATGTTCAAGTCTGATGGAACTCATCGACCTTTGTCTGACAACATACTTTCAATTCAACGGCAAGGCATACAAACAGACGAAAGGAACTGCAATGGGATCACAATATCCGGACTAATTGCAGAAGCAGTGATGCAGAGACTGGAAGCCATCATCCTACCTGTGATCAACAAAATTCTGGATTCGTTATGTGGACGACACTTTGTCATCATTAAAAAAGATGATATAGAAAACACCCAAATTTGATCAACAACGTTTTCAGTGACATCAAGTTCATCATGGAGAAGATTCAAACAACCAACCACCATTCCTGGATGTTCTGGTCAATAGACAAATACGGAGAAGCTGAAAACCCAAGTGTACAGGAAGCCAACACACACTGATCATCCTCAACTACAGTAACAACAACCCACAAGATCAGTTGCGTGCAGACTCCAATCAGGAGAGCTAGAACACACTGCAGTACAATAACTTCATGGAGAAACGAAGAAAATTACTTGATGTACCATCCTAAAGGAGAACGGCTAATCACGAAAACTTTATCAGAAGATGCCTATCCCGTACATCATCAACTACAAAGCTATCGACAGTAATCAACAAAAGCGTCATCCTACCATACATAAAGAATATATCAGAAATCATGACAAGATTACTGAGGCCACTTGGAATTTGTGGGAGCATCTCTGATTCCCATACATTACCTAGTACCTGGGTTACTCTAATCAGCTAAATTTCCCGCCTCCATCTTCAAAAGCTTCGGGTGGCAAATCAGCAGGTGTCGATTCTTTGGCATCGTTTCAGGTTCAATATAGCCTTCTCTTCGACGACAGTTGAGATACGGATATCTACGTCCCGTTCAGATTCAGGCTAGACGTTGGATCACTGAATTGTTCCCGTGGGCCAGTTGAACTGTGCATCGAAGTGTTCTGTTCTAGCCGCCTGTCCTGGTAGTCGATCGGCGTCGCATTCTTTCGGTGATGGTTTCACCCTAATAACCGAAGCAACTGCCGAGTATTACTTAGTGCTGGTGCCTTCTCGAACGTTTGCCCTTTTGTCATCCACCACTGTTCGTGAACACTGTAAAGACCGTTTGTCAATTTACGTTTGAGTTGCTTCAGCTCTTCATCCTGGTCAGAGCCAGCTGCAATAAGTCTTTCCATTTCAACCCGTCCTGACGACGTTGCGGAAATCCAATAACGTTAGAGAATGGCTTACCAATTGTGTTAACCACTATTCCTTTTCTCCTCCCTAGAGGTCATCTAACTGACTTGCACTATGCAGAGAAACTTGTCCTTCTAGGTAAAGGCACTGACAAAACGAAGGGTTTTGTAAACGCGTTGAGTAGAATTCTGAGTATGTTTGGTATGCTTGACACACTTCTCTAACGCCGAATGATGCTTCTAAACTTGTCTCCATCAACCTAGCGGTCGAATGTGCTGACTGCTTCACTTATTCAAGTAGTTACATGAGACCAAATAAGTTCATTGCTGACGAAATTTCAGCTCGGATACAGAAGAGCCGTTGGGCAATTTCCAACTTGCATCATCTCTCGAGCCGATTGCCTAGATATTTGGCTACCCGTTGAAATACCAGTATACTGCAATGCAGTCTGTCCTGCCATCATTGTATTCGACATGGGACTAGCCATTACTGCGTAACAGTTCAATCTGCCACATTTCATTTCAGCACACCAGGTAACAAGCTAATAAAATGGAAGATGAAGAAAGTAACAAAAATTGGTGATACGAAGTGGAAATAGAAAGCAGTAAAATGAGAGGAAGCAAGAATGAGATGATGAGACTAAGTATAGCAGTTAAGATGAGGATAATGTCTGTATACATCTGCGCCACTGACGTCGATCCACAGCCATATCACCAAGTCTCCAACCACCAGTTTCTCTTGTCTCGTGGACCCCAACCATCTAGTCTGCATCGCTCCACATCGCTCAAACCCAACAGTCAACGACTTCATGCATTATTGCCATGTTTTAGTCTAGCCATCCCGAGCCGTTGTCCAGTCTGAATCTACTTCGGTCAACATTGTGTGACGACGCAGACGGTGGTTAGGCGTGCGTAACACACATCCCAGCCATCTCAGTCGATGAAGGTTCACAACCACATCAACTGACTTACCTCTACTTCCTGAAATTATACCCCTGACTTCTGCGTTACTCGTGTGATGTGACCATGAAACACGGCCTATGCTACGAAGGCAACGGTGGTCAAACACTTGTAACCTTCTCAGGTCTTCTACCTTCAATGGCCATGTCTCACAGTGGTAGAGTAGAACAGAGCGGACTGCAGCATATTACACACTCGACCCTTAATAGGTGATCGGATATCATGGCAGCACCACAGATGACGTAAGTTGGCAGAAGCCAACCGAGACTTTTGTATCTGGGCA